TAATAAACTGAGCTGTTTGGCAGTTGATTGGCACCTGGAAACGTGCGTAAATATAATAAATCTATCGGATGCGACGACTTCAGCCGAATTAACCAATTAATAAATTGAGTGAATGCATTTTATTTAAGACGAAAATGATTTTATTTCTTATGTTTTGTCATTTTTTCAAAAAAAAAATTCTTCGAATTCAAAAGTTTTGATGAGTTGAAATTCAAAATATTTGTAGACAGTTGATTGTGAGGGAAATTTGCTCCAGAAACGACCTATTTTGCTCCAGAAACGACCTATTTTGCTCCAGGAATGACTTGTTTTGCTCCAGGAATGACTTGTTTTGCTCCAGGAACGACTTGTTTTGCTCCAGAAACGACTTATTTTGCTCCAGGAATGACTTGTTTTGCTCCAGGAACGACCTATTTTGCTCCATAAACGACTTATTTTGCTCCAGAAACGACTTATTTTGCTCCAGAAACGACTTATTTTGCTCCGAGAACGACTTGTTTTGCTCCGAGAACGACTTGTTTTGCTCCAGAAACGACTTATTTTGCTCCACGAACGATCATATTATAGACGGAAAGAAAAAATGTAACCAAAAATAATTTGAAAGTTTTAGTTTCAGTCACAAACGCATTAGCTTAAGTGGTCTATCTACCTAGCACCAGATCAAGCCATAAAATTCATCACTCCATTTGACGATATCGTTTTTGGAGGTGGCAATTTGACCACCTATCATGTTCACCATTTGATCTGAATTGATCAAATGATTGCCGATCAAATCGATCGGCTACAGGCGCCTCTCCATTCCTGTCGTGTTCCACTCTCTTTCAACTACTTTTCAGCCGTATTTCATTGCGCTCAATCAGTTGCATTCGTTGCATTCGTGTTGATATGGTTTGGTGAGTGGCTCGGCTCGGCTCTGCTTCTGAGATGGAGCCCTCGTTCTCTGGAAACAAGCCATTCGCCGCTTTAGATCCTACTTTAGACCAGACACCAAAACTTTTTCGTAAAGTCACGAACCCAGTATCCAAATCCATTTGAGCCGCACCTTCTTCCATAAATCCTAGAGATAGGAAGCCCAGAAAGCCAATGCTACTCGAGCTATAACTTTATTCCTTCCAGTTCCTATCAAACAGCAGCACTACGAGCAAGACGACCTCGAGTTCTCCGAGTCATCAGCAGTCACCAGCAGTCGACTCCACACGATGAGCGGGCTCCAGGTGAACACTCGAGATCTAGCTCCAGCTTCACAAGGCGATTCAAAGCCATAAGACGGTTTGTGAAGCTCCTCATTTTTATATAATGCCTATATTTGTTGTTTTGATATGCCAATGTAACTATTCAAAACAAGCCAATTGAAACATTCCTCATCACAAACTCTAATGAGCAATTAATTAACTCATAATGAGCAATTAATTAATTAAGTCATAATGCTTCTGCTCTCATTCGAATGCATTTCCCAGACAGAGTTCTTATCAACTACCTTTTTTTGTGGTTGTTTTTGGTTTTATTTTACCAAAACTATTGAAATTACGATGTGCTGAGTGTCGAGTCGTCGTTGAATTTATGAATTGGTATTGAGCTGCTGCTGCAGCTCTTGCAGCAGAATATTGTGCTGAATGTTTAAAAATAGATTTGAAAGGTGTCAAAGAATTTGATAAATTCCTTATTAATATTTATACATCGTTAGTGATGTGTGTGTGTGATGGATCGCGTGGCTTGATATCCTCTGCAATACTCTACTTGTCCTTTAAAATAGATCATTTGTGAGAAATTTGTGAATTTATGATCAATATTTTTGATCATTATGATCAATATTTGTGAACAGCAATCAATGCATCAATCAATCAATCAGTCAATCAATCAATCAATATCAATGCAATGAACAGCAGCAGCAGCAGCAGCAGGACTGACTACTCATTTAGAGGCGAGAGTTACTTTTTTTGGGAAAAACCATTCGACTAAGACAAACAAATCAGCCAGCTAAGTGGTGGAAAAATATGCGTGGAAACGATTTGACATTGTTTTTTTTCGTAATTTTTCATTTTCCATTGTTTCATTTCTCAATTTTCCATTTTTACGGCAACGTTCCATTGCATTTCATTTCATTTCGTTGCACATCACTTCAGTTTTCAATCGTCATTTTCACCGCCCGTTCTACACTGTCATGATGGATTGGTTGGTTGGGTGCTGCCATTGCCTGTTTGAGTGTGGAACGCCACACCCATTCTCGAAAATTTTCATTTTCCTGAAAGAAAAATTTTCCATTTTCTTCAAAAAATCTTCCTCTAAATATTCTCATTGTCTGCCTGAAAATTCCATTGGTGCTGACGGTGGCGATGGTGGTTGCAGCAATATTCCATGCGATTCGATTCTAATCTGCCATCCAGGACCCACCCCGTATATAGCTGTGTATTGTTC